TAGTTGATTCTGATGTGTACATATGTATATTAGATTATGTTGGTGTGAACATATTTAGATTAGTTTATTCTGATGCGTACATATGTATATTAGTTTAAGTTGGTGTGAACAGATTTAGATTAGTTTAAGTTGGTGTGAAGATATGTAGATTAGTTTATTCTGATGTGTACATATGTATATTAGATTATGTTGGTGTGAACATATTTAGATTAGTTTAGTATGATGTGTACATATGTATATTAGATTATGTTGGTGTGAACATATTTAGATTAGTTTATTCTGATGTGTACATATGTATATTAGTTTATGTTGGTGTGAACATATGTATATTAGATTATGTTGGTGTGAACATATTTAGATTAGTTTATTCTGATGTGTACATATGTATATTAGATTATGTTGGTGTGAACATATTTAGATTAGTTTAGTCTGATGTGTACATATGTATATTAGATTATGTTGGTGTGAACATATTTAGATTAGTTTATTCTGATGTGTACATATGTATATTAGTTTATGTTGGTGTGAACATATGTATATTAGATTATGTTGGTGTGAACATATTTAGATTAGTTTATTCTGATGTGTACATATGTATATTAGTTTAAGTTGGTGTTACTTTCACTATTCAGTGCTGTGTAAAAGAACGGGTTTTCCTGTTGGTGTGAATAAATTTATATTAGTTCTGTTTTTATTCACCATTATGCAAGAGGATAGAATACGCAAATCAAGACGAAATTCACATTAATTCATGAGGAAATCCACATTAAATTAAAGTATATTACTATATAAGATGAGCAGTAATGGTTGGGCAGCAGAAAATAGCTTTGGTGAAGTTAGTCTAGTCTGCTCATGTAGATTAGATTATGTTGGTGTGAACATATTTAGATTAGTTTAAGTTGGTGTGAAGATATGTAGATTAGTTTATTCTGATGTGGACATATGTATATTAGATTATGTTGGTGTGAACATATGTAGATTAGTTTTAGTTGGTGTGAACATATGTATATTAGTTTAAGTTGGTGTGAACATATTTAGATTAGTTTATTCTGATGTGTACATATGTATATTAGATTATGTTGGTGTGAACATATTTAGATTAGTTTATTCTGATGTGTACATATGTATATTAGTTTATGTTGATGTGAACATATTTAGATTA